CGTGGGGCTCTACACTTCTCCCATGAATATTGCACTTGGACCTGCAGGAGGGGCCTCTCCATCACAGCAGGCCCCCAGTCTGATACAGGGAGCTGACTGGAGACTGTGTAGCAGCATTGCTCTGGAGAGAAGCCACAAGAGGGTATCAGTGACTCCCGAAACCTGGGTGTTGCAATGGTACCATCTTGAGGTTTCAGCCCCCAAACACTGCAACTACCTGGGGCTCAGGTCCACTGATGCTGCCTTGCACTGCCCCTGCCAGGTTGGGGAGGGAGCAGGGAGGCTGGGTGCTCTCATGCACCCAATGGCAGGTGCTGTGTACTCCCATTGCTGCGTACTCCCATTGCTGCCAGGAGACCCAGGCAGAACAGGTTCCAATGGACCTGGCACCTACTGCCACTGCCTGGGTCACTCTGACCAGCCACAGCTGCTGTGGGACTTGGGGGAGGGTCACATACCTATACCCCCTGGCTCCTGACACTGATGCCTGAGCAGTATTTCTTTCTAGAAACTTGGGTAACTGATGGAACTGGGTGGGGGAAATATACCACTGCCACTCCTGCTACCATCATCACCACTAGACAACCACAGGGGAACAGAAAGATGCAGGAGAGTAGCAGTGTTAAAGGCTCACAGTGCATCTGCCCATTTCCTTCCTGGAAAAGCTCACGGAGTAGGACATCATCCAAGGACCTCTCCTTCTCTTCACTGAGCAGCAGAGTTCCAGCAGAGTAGAACAGGTATATCACAAAGCTATCTATTTTGAGCTAAGATAAGATGTTCCAGATGAAAAGGAACTGAAATGAGAACTCAGACAACATGAAAAAACAGGCTGTTCTGATACCCCCAAAGGACCACGCTGGCTCTCCACCAATGAATTCCAATCAAACGGAACTTGTTGAAATGTCAGATGTAGAATTCAGAATATTAAACACAAGTAAGATCAATGGGATTGATGAGAAAGTTGAAAACCAACACAAAGAAACCAAAAAATAATTCAGGATATGGATGAAAAATTTACTACAGAAATAGATGATAGAAGAAAAATATATAACAGAACTTCTGGAAATAAGACAGTCATTTGAGGAATGTCAAAATACAGTGGAAAGTTTTAAAAACAGACTAGACCAGGCAGAAGAAAGAACTTCAGAGTTTGAAGAGAAGAGTTTTAAATTAGCCCAGTCAAAAATGAAGATAAAATAATCAAGAAGAATGAACAATCTCTCCAAGAAATACAGCATTATGTAAAACAAACAAATATGGGTCATAGATACCCCAGAGGGAGGGGAGAAAAAGCAAATAGCATGGAAAGTGTATCTGAGGGAATATTGGAGGGAAATTTTCTGGTATTGTTAGAGATTTAGACGTCCAGGTACAATAAGGTCAGTGAACGCCTGGGAGATTCAAGGCAAATAGCACATTACCAAGGCACACAGTCACTAGTCTCCCAGAGCCAAAGGGGAAGATAAAATCCTGCAAGTTGTGAGATGAGTGCCAAGTAACTTACAAAGAAACCCCATTAAGATAATGGCAGAAACCTTACAAGTCAGAAGGGTTTTGGTCTCATTTTCAGACTTCTTTAACAGAACGACTTTCAGCCAAGAATTTCATACCCTGCAAAACTAAGTTTTATAAACGAAGGGGAAATAAAGCAAACATTAAGTGAATTTGTCACCACTAGATCTGTTCTTTAGAAAATGCTTAAAAGTGCCCCATACATGGAACAGAAAAATCAATAGTTACTGCCAAGGACTAGAAACAGACTAGTGTAAAATCACTCAAAAGTTAAAACTCACAGCTCTTACAAAACACAAAGAAGAAAACAAAGCAACGTGGTAACAATCAACACGATGACCAGAACGGTATCTCACGTATCAATACTAATATTGAATGTAAGTGGTCTTCATGCCCCACTTTAAAGATATAGATAGGCTAAACGGATTAAAAAACACAAACCAAATATATGTCGTCTCCAAGAAACCCATTTAACTTGCAAAGATTCTCATAGACTTAGGTAAAGGGGTGGAAAAAATTCCATGTAAATGGAAACCAAAAATGAGTAGAAGTAGCTATTCTCATATCAGATAAAACAACCTTTGAATCAACAATGGTTAAATAAAAGACAAAACTGTCATCATATAATGATAAAGGAATCAAATCAAGAATACATATAGGCACCTAAAAGAGGAGGCCCCAGATTCATAAAACAAATTCTACTAGCTCTAAGGAAAGAAATGAGTGACAATGGGTGGGTGTAAGAAAGATTAATCTGATTTTTTGGTCTGCTTTTTATTTCGTATTCTTTCTAGAAACTTGGATAAATCACAGTGATTAGGTGTGACTTGAGGGCTAGATTGCCTGGGTTTTAAATTCTGTCTCCATCACTTACTAGCTGTGTGACTTTGGGCAAATAATTTAACTTCTCTGTGCATCAACCAACAGGCATACAAAAGTTTTTGTGAGGACTAAATGAATGAATACACATGTAAAGGAGATGACACATAAAAGTCCTCTTAAGTGTTAACTATGGTTTTATCATCATTATCGTTATCATTACTCTGGGAAAAACAATAGAGAAAAATACAATTATAACTTGAGTATAACTCAAGTCATACTCAGCCAATTGGGAGAAATAAGTGGGGGTAGTAGGGAGTGGTGGGGACTGTGGAAAACTGGAAAGCACACGCCACACCTAAGGGAGCCAAGCTCTAGTTGATTATTGTCATGCAGAGTTGCATGCTTACTGTTTCAAAGAGTTGAGTTTTTAAAAAAATAATCAGAACTTATCATATCTCTTAATCTTGAAAAGTCACCCCTAATTATTTCTTCTACAATGTCTTGCCTATGCTAAATAAATGTATGTAGCAGAATCTCCTTATGAACCTCCAGTTTTCTGTCCGTAAGACAAAAGCAGTAGGTATGAAGAGGGTAGGGCTTGTGGAAGCTTTGGGAGATAGCACTGATTGGAGCAGGCACATGGTCAGATGTGGGAGGAAGGTGGCCATTGGGGAAAGGTCTGTGGTGTCCTAGGTGCCTAGAAAGATGACTCCATTTACTCTTTCTCTTACTGCAAAGTCTTCTTGCTTCTCTACTCTCTTCTGCTGTCAGTTCTCAAGCTGCCACTAGGAGAAGCTTATGCAAATTCTGGGGGCACAGGCAGTGTCTTGGAGCTGGGGCATTTCACAGTTCTTATTTAAGAGCAAGGCTTTAAAGTCAAAAGACGTACAAGCGTGGATGTAACATTAGTAACCACACAAACCCCTTAGAAAAGTAAAGCTGGTGTTGGTCCTGTACACAAGATTTTCCAGGAACTTCCTCTTGCCCCGGGAATAATTCTGAAGTCTGACTTGACCCACAAAGACCCTACATACTCTGGCCTGTGCCTCCCTCCATGGCTTTATGCCTTTAGAGTTCAGTTCAAAGAGCTAAGAGAGGCTTTCCTTGACCACCCTGGCTAAATTAGCCCAAACCCGCAACAGTCTCTCTCTAGCCCAATATCCTGTTTTATTTTCTTCCGAGAACATGTTGCTTTGCCATTTATGCTTTCTTGTCTATCATTTCCTACTAAAATGTAAGATTGGGAAGGGAAGGGATTTGTAACTTAGTTCCAGGCATATAGTAAATGCTCAATAAGTACGTGTTGGATGAAAGAGGGTTCAAGAAATCTGTGAGTCACATATCTGCTAATGGTTTATCTTGGGTTCTCTCCATCTCAGATAATACTTCTGTTCAGGAAACAGCTTTTCAGGCCTTAGAATTTTTCTTGGTCCCCTGCTGACAGGCAGGGATAGTGGGGATTTTTCTTACTGGTGGACATTACTCCAAGTCCTGACCACCTCCTGGACTTCTGCATTTCTGCTCACCTCCATCATGGGGCAACATGGACTCTTGGTGCACCCCCCCACCCCCACCCCAGCCTCCAGCCTCCTGCTCAGCTGCCTGGAGTCTACACTACATGCAGGCCTTGTCAGCTCAGCCAAGCCCAGCCTTGGTTGACACAGGAATTCTAGAAGGGGTATGAGGGGACACTGCTGATGGGGAGAAAGTAGGACAAGGTCCTTTGCACCAGAGTCAATGATTGTGTGGCGGCCACATGTCTCCTTCCTGTCCCTGCCTTTCTCTTATTTCTGCCGTCTCCGTCTTCCCAGTGAATCCTTATGAATCCTTCCCTTCCTTTTCCTACCTCCTTTGACTGTATAACCTTAAACCAGAAAGTTGTGAGAAAACATTTTTCATACAACTTAATGGAATCCATTCACAGTTCTGTCTGGTTCAGGCCCACCACCTCCCCACCCTCAGAGAGTGCACAAACTTATGTATACAAGGGGGCTCGGATTGTTTCCTTGGGCCAAGGCACATAGCTTTCCAGATTTTCTAAAAGATCTGTGTCCCCCAAATTGTGAACCACTGAACAGGCTTATTCCAGAGTGTTGATCCCAGAGTGAGACAACTTCCACCTATAGAATGTTCAGGAAAAGACAAACCCCTGGAGACACAAAGTAGGTTTGTGGTTGCCTGAGGGCTCTGAGTGGGAAGGGAACAAGGTTTTCTTTTGGGTTGATGGAAAGGCTCTAAAATTAGATTGTGGTGATGGTTACACAACCATGTAAATTGAAAAAAAATCGTTGAATTGTACCTTTAAAATGAGTGAATTTTATGGTATGTAAGTTATACCTCAGTATAGCTGTTAGAAAAATAGACACTGAATTTCAAGGACAGCATGAAAAAATATAAATGTCTCATTAATAACTTTTTACCCTGTTTGATTACATGTTGAAATGATAATGTTTTGAATAAATCGGGCTAATAAGAATATTTTTTAAAATTAAAAAGGGGCAACTGGTGACCATGGGCTACCTCTCTAGGAGAAGGATGTTGAGCAAAGCCAGGGAACTCCATGTCCCCTTTAACTGAGTAGGGGTGGAGGTGGAGCGAGAGGGCTTCCTAATCTCTGCCTTGAAGGCCAAGATCAGACTGGTCAGATCGCAGGTGGGACTTACTGATGTGGAGAGGTTCATCCTCGGGTTTGGTTGAAGACGACTCGTTGTCCTCAATGTCCTTGCTGCCGGTCACTGGGGTCATATTCTGGGGCTCATCTGAGCCAGGGTTCATAGAGAGCATGCTGCTCTGGGGGGATGACCCCGCACTGGTCCGGGTCAGACTGAGCGTGGAGCCGCGACGGCTTGGCTTGCGGCTGGCGGCTCGCATTAAAGGAATTTTGTATTTCTTGGACTAAAGGAAACAGAAAAGGGAGAGAGATTTTACAAGGAAGAAAAGAAGGATGGAAGAAAAGAAGGAAGAAAGCGGGGGGGAGGGAGGGAGAAAAGGAAGGGAAGATTGGAAGGAAGGAAGAGAGGAAGAAGGAAGCCTGGGTAGAGAAAAAGAAAAACCTGGCTTTGACTGTGAATTCCTTTTAGCTCTTTCCAAACACTATGGGACATATCCCGGATCTGAAGTGACCTTTTGCCACACATGAAGACAATTTAAAAAATGGTGTCTTGTTTGAAGCAAGTGTGACAGCGCTTACTCTATCACGAGTGCACGATTGCCTAATAGGTATTGCCAAGATCCAGAATAGTTTCTACCTTTTCTTTTGTAATAACTGTTGGAGTTGTTTTCTAAACTGTAGAAGAGGATGGACCTAATTTCTTTAGCTACGTCTTTGTTTTGCCCTCCAAATGGCATGTATCAACGTCTTATTTACCTAGTTAATGCCTAGGCCTCAAAGAATGAAGATTTGTATCCACTGGGGTTTCTAAAGAATGCAAGGTGGAAAAAATTCTAGGAGGTGGAATGGGAGAAGCAGCTAGGGTTGTGATGGGTGACTCATCCTAGAGGAAATCAATCCGTGAGGGGAATGTGGATTTTTTGGAAAGAAAGGAGTTAAAAAGGGTTGGTTACAGGAGTGTGTGTTCGTGTGTGTGCATATGTCTGCCCTCCTGAGAGACTGGTGTCACTTCAGCACACACTGTTTGGGGTTATGTCCTCATCAAACTCATGATCCAAATTGCAGAAAGACTTCCTAACTTGCCCAAGATCACACAGCTAGCAAGTAGCAGAACTAGAACTCAAACCCAGGTCAGGCTAATGCCGAAGCTAATTACTATGCTCTACTTGAAGCCTTTTTTGGTGGCATTGACAATGCCCTTGAGTTCATCCTCATGATTCTTTACGGCATTTAAAATGCCAGGTTTGCAGTGGGGAAGAATAGGTTCTCAGCCACTTAAGCTACAGTTGATACTCAATTAATAGAAACAATTTTATCTGAGAACGTTTAAAATGAAAGCACTGGAGCAGCAGGCTGATGTCTTCTTTAGATGAACCTCATAGCGTCTGATATTCTAGGAGGGGAAATAGGGAGCACAGACAGCACTGAAGGCTACACCAATATTTAACATATTGAACAGGGGGTGGAGAGAATTCTATTTGCAGGATTGATTTCAGGAAGTCCATTGTATATGATCAGAAGTTGTATTTTGATTGGCTTCCTTGTGGGGGCGGATCTTTCCTGTTCTAGAAGAGGGGAGGGATTTCTTGGTTGCACAGGGGAAGAAGAATGTGGGGGAAGGGCGGGGGAAAGTTGCGGGTGGTAGTAAAGATGAGCGCTCTCTCTGTGACCACCTCTATATCCCCTAAATCTTCAGCAAAATTCCGTATAAATGACAGAATGCTTCAGGCTGTGACACGTTGTGGAATTTGGAGTTTGAGCTGAGTTTAACTAGATCTCCAAGGGGGTATGCAGTTTACAAAATTACTGTGATACAGAGAAAGCAAATACCAGGCGTTGGAAAACTTTGATAAATTAGGAGCTTGGTACAATGATTCCTCGGTCCTGACGCTGCCATTGGTTGAGAGGTTGCCAGCCTGACCCTGTACTCCCTGCTACCTTGGGGAAAGAGGATGTCAGGGTTCAGGGACAATACATGTAGAAGTTGCTTCTTCATGCTTTATCTAGCACAGTATGAATTCCTTATTCCAGGAACCACACTCTTTAGATCAATGAAATTTTTGAGGCCTGGACAGATTGTGTCACAACAGAGCCTGGAGTCTTGTAATGAGCACTGGAGTCAGAGCCAGGGGACCTCAGGGACAAACCATGCCTCAGTTTCCTCATTTATAAAACAAAAAGAGTGGGCTGGGATCATCTCAAGAGAGCCTTCTATACCCAGAGTTCTGTGTGCATCTTCCTTGAGCTAGGATTTTATCTTACGCTCTTAAAGTTGCCATTAACTAAAACTTAATTAACTGCCCTAGCCGGGAAATCCAAAGTGAAAGGCTGACACTTCCGACTGAGAATGGCAGAAATATAAAATGCGGAGGAAGATGTGACAGGCACTTTCAGCATCTTGCTTGGCCTTTATTGAACCAACTCTTTCTGAATTGACTGAAATCCCTAAGTGCTGCTTCCTTATTTTTTATATTTCACCCAGGAGTGGTGTTAATCAGCTGCTGGCTCCTGCCTCAGTAGAGGCTGACTTTTGGCAACAGAGGAAAAGATTTCCTTGAATGGTTCATTATACTTCCTAGGAAAGCAGGGGTTGCAAACTGGTGGCCCATGGGGAGCTATGTTTAGCTACTAGGATTTTACAACATTGGGGGAATTTTATATAACAAACTAAGATTTTCGGTTTCTCTTGTAAGTAATAAGCCCAGGCTTCCCATTCTCATGTGGAAAAATGAACTAGAGCCAAGCAGAGTTTCTTTCCCTTAGGTGTGCACAAGTACCCTGGTTTGCCACAGACCTCACTACTCCTTACTGTACTTCCACTTCTGTCCCATGACTTGCCCTTATTGGTTAGAAATCTGGCCTGATTTTTCCATTAATATAATTTACCTGGTTCTTAGGAACACTGCCTTGGCACTGACAAACTCTATCACACAGAAGGGTATCAGGGGCTGTGGGAGTTGGTGAGATTCTCTCTTTCAAAGTCCTCTTTTTACAGGCAGAGAAACTGAGACCAGGAGAAGAGAAAGGACTTATCGAGAATTGAGTCACTGCATCTGAGCCCTGTTTTCTGAGTCCAAATTTAGTGCACCTCACCCTTACAGTGGACCGTGCTGCAGCCCAGGTTTGACCCTGCAAACTTGCTGGGGGTTTCAGTTTGTGAGAGTCTAGCAATTCACTCTCCCCACCCCCACCAGTTTTAGTGGTGGACATTACTGAAGGACTTTTTTGTTGTTGTTTTCTTCAGGTTTGTGGCTCCTGCTGCTTTTCCTGTGCATTCCTGGAGACGGATGCACACGATATCTCCATAGCAACTTTCTGTAATAAAAACAAAGGCTCCTACTTCTCAAGCCTAGGAACACCCTGATGAAAGAGCAAGAAACTGGTGAAATCTTCATGTGGGGCAATTATAAGCATGACGTCATGGAGAACAGGCATGTGAAAAGGCCCAAGTTTAATAAACCGACCCCAAATTAGCTCCTGTCTCTGCCAGTACCCAGCAGGGTAACCGCATGCAAATCACTCAACCTCTCTGAATCTCAAATTCCTCCTCTCCTACCTGGGGATAAGCATAGAGCCCCCCGGGGTTAGTAAGAGGGCATAGTATACATAAAGAGGTTCTCTAGCGCAGAACCTGGTCTCTTGCAATTACGTTGAAAAGTGGCCTCTAAAAAGTATACAACTAAAATAGTGCTAATCATTTCCCCATTTTTAAAGCGAGTTTGCCTAATGTTTCCTGGGGTTCTTTGCTGAAGTTCTAGGCGGATACAAGCATTATATGCATTTCATGGGCAAGGAGACAGGTTCAGCAAACAACAGTTATGTGCTTGCCCAGTGACCTTCGCCTATCTTAATGTTACCTCTTGCTGTTGGTATTATGACTGGGCTTGTGTTTTGAGTAAACTTGGGAGATTCTAGGTTAGAAATAGTTTTGGGTAAAAAGAATCTATGTCTTGACATCTTCTTGATAATAAACGTATGTCCCAGTGTGTGGGAAATCCCTTCAGTTGAAGCCCTCATTTCTTGTTTTCTGATTGAGTTTAAAAAAAGAGTGACAGAGAGACAGAGAGGGAGAGAGAGAGAAATGACTGTTATTGATTTAAAGATAGAGTGAGGTGAGTCCATTTCCTTCTGGTGACAATCTTATTAAGCAGCTGCTTAGCACCCCCTCCCTTCCCCACCAGGTAGTGTCCAGCCAAATGTCATTTCTTCTGTAATCCCCAGATAACCATTTTAATTAAAATGTACAAAAACCCTCCAACAGCGTGTGGTTCTGACTTCTCTTCACTGTGAGAACCAACTGGAAAAAAAAATTCCCATCTGAAGAAAGACCTGTGAAAATGCTCCTGGGGTCAAGTTCGGGCCTGGGAGCCAGGCGGTCAGACCACCGGTGGTTGGTTACCTTTGGCGCTGACGCTGTGATGAATTGCTCCCACTTCTGTCCCATGGACTTGTCCTTATTGATTTTTTTTATTGTACTCTTGCTTCCACCAGGGTCCCTGAGTAAGAAACAGTTTAATGAATTTTCTGTTTCCAGAGCTTCAGTTTATTACACGTTCTTTTAAGAAATGTAATAAATAGAGGAAGAATGGTGGCTCGTCTCTGTTGGGATTTTTTTCCCCTCCTCCTGTACTTGTGACAGAGCAAGAGGCTTTGTCAGTAGCTGGGTTTTTTAAGTGGAACTGGGATCAGAAGGGACCCTTGCTTACTGGGAGGGGGCTAAGGGAGGTGCCTCAGGGAGGTGGCAGGTAGCTGCATCCTTTTTGCACCTGTTTGCAGTTTAGACCCCTGTCCTCTCATAGACTCCTGGGCAAGCCTTCAGTTACTCCTGGCATGGAGTAAACCCATGTTTATTTATGTATCTCTGCTTTGGCCATTGGCTAAGTGTCCCACCATCAGGGACCCTTCTGAGTTGAACAGAGAATATTACAGGGTTGGACTGAGTTGAGGGGAGCTCGTGGGGTGGACTCCATAATGAAAATCACTGATTGGAGGTTTATCCAGCAAAAGTTCTCTATGATGTTATGTGCAAGACACCCCTGTGCCTTCCAACTGAATCATCTCCATCCCCGTCACCTTGTGATATAGTCACTGTCATCCCATTTCACAGCTGAGGAAACAGAGTCAGGAGGCTGATGCCACTTACCCAGATGTGGGTTTACAAAGAAACTAATGAGGCTAAAGCTTTGGGGCCCCTTGCACACATGGGCCCCTGCTCTGGGGTCCTGCACCTAATTTTGTATGGTAATTTTTGTATCCTTTTCCCTAAAGTGTCCCCTTCCCCAATTAAATAAGCTTCAGGTTCCCACAAAATCTGCACCTCCCCTCAGGCATTGAGAACTTTCTGGGTAGGAGACTTGAAGGCCCAGCAGGTGCTGTGGGTGACGTGCCCACCACCCCTTCTCTGGAACCCATGAGACCAGACATGTGGCCAAATTCATACTTTCGGCATTTTGGAAAGGATACGCTGCACACACTGTGTTAACAAAGCCCCTGTGATGGGGTCTGGAGCAGCCACCTGTACCTGAGCACACTGTCATTTCTGCAGGAAGCACGTGAAGCATGTGGATATTTACGCTAAGTGGGATAGATAAAGACTGTAAATAGTCTCAGGTCAAGTTCTACAGCCAGCTTGGTTCTTGTCAGATTTTGCTGCTGAACGAGTTACAAAAAAATTAAGTTTTCAGAGCTTTTTGGATCTTGGACTTGTGGCTATAGGGCAGTGGGTCTGTACTGATGAGTAAGCAGGGGTCTCAGCCTGCGGTCTCTCCACCACCTTTACATGTCTACTGACTAATCGCTTGGTCTGTCTCTCTGCCCACCCATCTATCAATGCAACTCTTTCTTTAGCTCCCTTTTCTCCGCAGAGAGGATTTTAGATGGCTAGGATCCTTTGTTTAAAACATTCGGCTGGCTCTCACCTAGGCGAGAGCAGGGACTTGAGGAAATAAGATGGGCAGACTTGTTTTGATCAAGAGAAACAGGGGTCCAGGCTGGTTAGTATTGAAAGCAGTCCTGGGGGTTGGGGAAGTGCTTAGATATAGAAGGTAAAAGGTGATTGAGATAAACCTCCCTTAAGGCTGACTTCTTATGGCCTGGGCGGGGCCAGAGGAGCAGAATCAAATGGGGTCTTCTCACTAGTGGGACCTTGTTGAACATCTACCAGCAAACAGCTACCCCGTGAGAAATACACACAGACCCCCGAGGTGGACGTCGGGCTGGGGAGGTGGGATGAGACTGTGCCGCTGAGCTTTTGTAAGATTTTATGTTTGATTACACAATAAAAAGACCTCTGAATAATTAACAGTGAAGCTCAGTTAAGTTGGTTCTGCCTGCCTCTCCCCTGAGTAATCAAATTAGGGGATATTTAAAAATCCATCCAGAGGAAGCAGCAGTAGCAATACTTCAGCCCCATAAACAATATTTAAACTAGCAGCGCTTCTGAAGTGTGATTTGCGGATCGCCAGCTGGAAACGTTAGCGCTTTTCGCTTTTCGCTTTGGAGAGTTTCCTTCAAGGCTACAGGCTTTTTGCTTTTCCCTTTGCTCAGGCAGCCCCTGCTGAGCCGGCAGCCCCTGCTGAGCCTCCAGCCTCTTCTTGAAGTTCAAAAGCAACTCCCTTTCCCCTTTTAAAATTAAATGTGGTCCCAACCAAGCTTTCAAAATCTTAAATATTCAGGCCCAATCGGGAAGACGGAAGTTTTCCACTAAGGCTGACTTCCAAGATGACCCGGAATCTATTGCGACTAAATGAGTTAAAAATGCAGCCAGATTCCCACAGACCTTCAAAAGGCTCGGAAAGCCCTTGCTCTTGCAAAGCCATTGAGAAAGAAAAGACCTGGTTAGACAGAATCGGTCTTTCTGATGTTTCATTTTCAGTAGCAAATAAACCAAAGAGGAAGATCGATAGAGTGGGGAAAAAAAATAAAACCACCCAGCTTGGGCCAGCCACTGCACATTTTGCAGACAAGGGCCAAAGCAAAGTGATGTTCCTTCCTTGTGTCTGGTGGGGTCACTGTGAGTGTCGTTGGCCAAGTAGTCCCTGTTCGGTACGTTCCCTGAAGGTAGGCATAACACTGTGACTTGCTTTATTCACCAATACATGAGTCAAAGTGTCATGTGGCACTCTGGACAGATGCTTTAAGAACCAGCCCTCAAGTCATCAGATTCCTTTTTTTTCCTGTCTCGTTGATGGCGGAAGCTTGTGTTGAGATGGGATTTCTATCAGTCTGGGTCCCTGACTGACTGTAATGAGCAAAAGGCCCACTTGTTGGACATGCAGGCTGAGCAAGAAAGGAGCTTGTATTGTCTTAAGTTGCTAAGATCTGGGGAGTTGTTCATTACGGCAGCTTAGCCTGGCTCACCTAACTGATTTACTGTCTGTGTGACCTCAGGCAGGTCTCTCTCAGCATCAGAACCAGAAAAGTGTTATCTTGGTAGTTAAGAGTGAGTAGCAAAGTATCTCAAGAATGGAAGAAAAAGTATCCCATGTACTCAGTCTTACTATGAAACTAATTTATAGCTTTCATACGAAAGCTATAACCCAATTATAGCCCAAGAAT